GTGAATATTATATCAAAAAAACTACTTAAAAAAAAAAAGAAGCCAAACTTGACCAACAGTTAGCATGGGTGAAGGGAGTTGCCGATTAGGAAGCTTATCAATGGTGGTGGAATAATTTGGAAAAGGATCTCAATAATGGTTGTATAACACAAAGAGTATAATCAATGACACTGAATTATACAAGAAGTAGTTGTGGAATTGGAAAAAAAACAATTTTGCTATCATGTAAAAAAAAAAAAGATTTAGGCTCTTATTATGAGTGAGCTTTTAGAGAATTTTTGGAAGAATGACAAACTTTGAGTGACATTTTAAAAAGGCCATGGCTCTGGCTGTCCTGAGGAGGGCAGCCCATGGAGGCAAGGATCGAGGAAGGAAGGCAGTTAGCTGAGGGCTAGCAGTGGAGGTGGTGAGAGGTGATACATATTCTGATAGACTGGCATCAGGAGTTGAAGCGACTTAAAATACTTTTGTTCTGAGCAATTGGATGAGGGATTGCCAAAGAACAGTTAAGGCTTTGTGAAAACTTCTAGAGGGAGGACAGCACAAAATGGGAAGACAGGCTACAGCCACCTTGCACAGGCGCAGGGGTGGGGTCTTTCTCCACGGACACTGGATGCCAGGAAGGGTTAGGAAGCAATATCCACAGGGAAGAAACAGGCACAGAGATAATTTAGGAGAGACATTGTCATCATGACCTGCTTCCTTAGAGAATTACCTTAGTTTTTTTTCTGATTCCAAAAAAAAAAGTTCTCTGTAGAAATTATGGAAAATACAGAAAAACAAAGTTGAAAATATAATCTCACCATCCAAAAGATGTTAACTTTTTGGTATGTATTTTTCAGCCTTTTTTTACATATATACATCAATTCTAAAAAGATATGAAACATACTTTTCTTAAAACCTGTTTATTTTACTGAAGACACGATTATTTTTCCATGCCATTAAACTGTTTTTTCTAAAATATCATCTTAAGTACTTTCAGAGTAGTTAAAACCACCAATAAGATTAATCAGTAAAATATTGGTAAGAAGAGGGGGAAAAAGGGTAGACTCTTGAAAAATGGCTGTGTCCCTACATTCCTTCACATAACTCTGAACCAATTAATTGTTCATATCAATCTCCAAGCAAAGACCTACATTATATTAGATCTAGAAGTTTCTGATTAACCTCATCACAAAACTGTTTCTAAGATTTTTGAAATATTTCTAAATAGTATAAGTTTGATTGTAACCATGATTCTACAAACT